CACCCCCACCCCACCATCCTTCCCTTGGCTGTCTCTTCCTTCCCTTTACATCTCGGGTTAGATAAAGCTTTTTTCAGAAGTCTCCTCTGACTCTCTCCTTTCCACGCTGTCTAGCAAGCCTGAATAGGTGTCCTTCTTGGGTGTCTGCAGCACTCTGGATTTACATGATCCCCTGTAGCATTTACTAGACAATATTGTAATTTGTGTTACTTGTAGTTTATACTATAGGTAGCCTAACCAAGAGCCATTCCTACTTCCTACTAGAACGTAAATGTAATTCAAATATCGACTTGCCCTTGCATGCATTTAAGGGAAGATGAACCTCAACTCTAACCCTCATGAGGGACACCTGATTGTCTAAGCTAATCATAATGTATATTTATGTGCTAGTGATTGGTTTAGTCATTGATATGTGATACAATTTTCGCCAAAGAAACATTGAAGGGAAGTCTTCTGGGGGGCGACTGTCTGGGAAAGATTTTTCTCTACCTTAAAAGAAGACTTAAAGAAAAGAAGAGCCTCTTTTTCTAATAGTCATTGCTTTTTGCATGTGATAGCTGGAATTGTGACAGACATCTTGAGATCATGGGAGAACGAGGCAGAAAAATCACCAATACCTGAGGATGGCACTATAGGAAGATGGAAGGACCCAGACCTCTGAGAATGTTACTGAGTCACTGAGTGACCTTCCCATCTCAGGGCTGCCTATGGTTCGTCAGTTATGGTTTTCTGTTACCTGCAGCTGCAAACTTTCTAACTATCACACTTTTCTGTCTTCCTCACTGCACTGATATTGATATGATCTTATGTTTGGAGACAGAATTGCAAAAGAACTAAGAATGTAAATAAAACATCTTAGATGACTGCGTGGCCTTATGGTAATAGATAAGAAAATTTATTATTAATGTGATATCTGATAGGGAATCAGAATCAGCTTTTGAGGAAAAGGTTGTAGAAATTTTACGATTTTGAACAAAGACAAGAAAAAACCAGGCCAGAGAATAAGATGAAACTGCAACAGCCCTTTGTAAAGCAGGATTTGAAATGATCACAGGGATTGTATTGTACCAAATTCAGAAGCCTCCAGAAATGCGATCTAATTCATTTTCTTCTCTGCTTCGCCTCTTGCCTTTAGCTTTCTTTCCCATCCCAGCTCTAGTTTTCACTTCAAAAGCTCAGAAATTTCAAAGGGGGAAAACACCTACCAATATATTCACCTACACTCTAAACAAAGATCCAAGAAAAGGTCAAGGTGATATCCAAAACCACAATTACATTAACTTTTCAGAGATTTGTATACTGAGCTATGCAGTAGTCTCTTTGCTTTCTCAGAATTTCTTGTTAGAAATAGGAGTTTGAAGACAGCAAGATAGACAAATCCTCTACTTTTTGGTCTGTAAGCCTCTAGAAAGAATTGGTGAGCTTAGATATCGATGATAGGTAGATAGGTAGCTTCTTCCTATCTTTATTCTCATGCATTTAAGTGCATAGCACCCTGCCATTTATCAATAATAGAGCTAACTCTTCATTTTTGTATGGAAATGAAAGATAATGATAGGTAATATGGATAACTAAGATTATTGCTTGATCACAATTTTTTTTAAATTAGTTAACAGTTAAAGCTTCTACTAGAGCTGCAAATAGAACTGATAGTAATCTTCTGGATATAGCCCCTTGTGAAACGAGACAATTTGTGTGAGATAGAAGTGATCTCATCCTTGAAAGTTTGGTGGAAGCTGTATGTAGAACCATCCGAGCCAAGATTTGTGATGGTTTGTTTATTTACTAATTTGGAGGGGGTGTGACTAAAATTAAAAGGAGCCCTGGTGGCGCAGTGGTTAAGTACTTGGCTGCGAACCAAAAAGTCAGAGGTTCAAACTACCAGCCACTCCCCAGGAAAAAGCCTATGGGGTAGTTCTACTCTGTCCTATAGGGTCACAATGAGTTGGAATAGACTTGATGGCAACAGGTTTGGCTTTTTTGGTGTCTACAATTATAACTATTGATTCAATTTCTCTAATGGTTTTAGGTCTAGTCCAGTTTTTTATATCTTACTGAGTCAGTTTGGTTTTTATTTTTGTTCTTTTACATTACTATCAAGATTTTAAAGTAAGCAATGAAAAAAATAATGCAACTTTAAAAATGCACAATCATCTTTCTCCCATGACCCTAGAGCTCCACTGTCTTAACAGAGTAGCCCCTCGCCATACGTAGTTCCTGTTGCTGTTAGTTCCCATCGGGTCCACTCCGACTCATGGTGAGCCGTGTGCGTCAGAGTAGAATTGTGCTCCACAGGGTTTAGGAGCAGATCGCCAGGTCTGTCTTCCAAGGCAACTCTGGGTGGGTTTGAACAGCCAGTCTTTCAGCTAGTAGTCCAGTGTTTTAACCATTTGCACCAACTAAGTAATTGAAATGTGGTTAGTCCAAACAGAGATCTGCTGAAAATAAAATATGCACTCTGAATTTTTAAGACTTAGTATGAAAATAAGAATGCAAAATAACTCATTTTTTATATTGATTACATGTTAAAATAATAATATTTGAGAAATATTGGGTTAAATAAAATACATTCTTAAAATTATACTTGTTTTAAAGTATAAAACTTGTTTTCTTGTTGCATTTTAAAATGTGCCTACCAGAAAATTTTAAATTAAATATGCGTTGTGCACTGTATTTCTACTGGGCAGTACTGTTAGAGGGCATTCTCCTGCTCTAGCATGCATTTAGCTCTTTTAAAATGGTGTCCTATACTGGCTATATTGACATATGTGGAATCTCTGAAACGGAACATGTTATGATAAAAAAAGCATACTCCTTCTAAATAAATGAGTGATCTTGGAAAACTCACACAACTTTTCTGGGTCTCCATGGCTTCATCTGCAAAATAAAAGGGCTGTATGAGATGATTCTTAAATTCCTTTCTAACATGCATATATTTAATGACTTCACAATTTCCCCAACTGATTCCAAGGCCTGGGCAAACACTTCATGTGATAATTCCTTTAGTTTAACACATATTTTTGTGGCATCTATAATGTGCCAGGTGCTGTGATGAGGTAATTTTACCTCTAAACATCCTCTACTGTATTTAGCAGTATTTTTTTACCTTGGCAACTGTTTAAAAAATATTTACAGAATGAATGAAAGCATTATTATTCTGCGCAGTTTTAGACATTAACGGAGAAAGGAAACAGATACACGTGCACGCATGTATGTGGGCACACACACAAACACACTCACATTCCAAGAAACTGGCTTTGAATGAAATTTTAAAAAACAATTTGAAAAACTGAGTTGTGATTCTTTAGCAGCAACTCGAGTACCCACATAACGGGAATGGTCTCTGAACCCTACAGCTAAAAATGCCTTGCTCCTTCTGCAAATGGAAAATGCACTGTGATTCTAAGTAAACAGCACTCCAATCTTAGCTGTCTTTGTCCTCCTTGAGGCTTAACTGGGTCAATAATTAGCAACACAGCTCTGGAGCTGAATGAAGGAAGAGGGTGATGAGCAAGCGCAAATGAACTACCTTAAAAAAGCAATAGCATAAAGCCAGAGAGCACTTGAGGCTTGTCCTGTAAAGGTGTTCACATTAGGTGGACCAAGAAATGAGATACTGAAAATTAATAAACTGGAACCTAGCTGTGCGAGCTTACTTAACGAAGTCCACCGTTAATGGAACGAACATGTTTTTACCTTGTAATTTAACAAGGACTTCTAAAATTATTCTAAATGTTTCTCAAATAATGCTTCTCTAATTTCACTGGGGTTCTTAAACTTCTTTTCAATTTTCTTTCGAAGCTATAAGAGAAAGAAATGACGAACCAGTCTGATATACTGAAAAGTGTGCTGATATCGTGAAATTTGATTTCTAGTCTTAGAACTGCTACAAACCTGCAATATAAAAGTGAAAAGATAGTTTAATCTTTTTGGTTGGTTCGTTTATCTGAAAAATGGGATAAAGCCCTATATGTATTCTAAAAGTTAATGAGGGCATTCAATGAGATAAGGATAGGGGAAAACATTTTGTAATATATAAATGCTGTACAAACCTAAAATACTGTTAAACATAATCATCACAGAAGTTTATGAGCTGAAATCTAGTAATATTACATGTGGTCATAGATCCAAAAGAGAAAACTAAGAAAAGCTGTATATACCAAAAATATTACATCTATTATTAGAGATAGCAAAATATTCATAAAGCTAATATTTAAAGACAAGTGGTATAGGGGTTAACTGTGCAGACTCTGAAGACAGACTAGTACCATTTGAGGTTTGATTCTGCTATTTATGAGCTGTGAGCTGTGTGATATGGGGGTGTATCATCTCACCTCTCTATACCTCAGTATTCACATCTGCAAAATGGGGAAAATAATAGTACATAACTCACATGTTTGTTGTGAGGATTCAAAGATTAAAGTATATTTAACACATAGAATGGTGCCTGACACATAGAAGGTATTATATAAGTCTAGGTATAATTTAGGCATGCATTCTACCATGCTTTGAACTCCAGGTTGACATCCTAGTTAGACTTGACTTTGATTTGTTTGAAAAATAGCATGACTTTCCTGTATACACATCAGATGCTGAAAGGATCACAAGTGTATGCTGGGAGAGCAAATAAAAACAACTTTAGTACATAAGTCACAAAAGGATAGCCTAGATGAAAACCAAAACAAACAAAAAAAACAAAGCAGTTGTAGAGTCAAATCTGACTCATGGTGACCCACGCATTATGGAGTAGAACTGCTCCATAAAGTTTTCTTGGTTGTAATCTTTACGGAAGTAGTTTGCCAGATCTTTCTTCTGTGGAGGCGCTGGGTGGGTTTGAACCACCAACCTTTAAGTTAGGAGTCGATAACTGCTTGTGCCACCCAAGCTCAGGTAAAATAGATGGTAAAATAAAGTACAGTCATGGGATCTTTGCAATATTTGTAGTTCTCTTTATTTTTACATTTTTCTCAAGTACTAAAATAACAACTAAAAGTGCCTTGAATTTGTATTATGTTTTTAAAAATGACTTTTGCATCCATTACCTTATTAGAAGTAGGGCAATTAAAGGTCAACAATGAACTTCCTCTCACGCTCATGTATCTCTTTGAGGAATCAAATCTATTGAATATTTGTACTTCAGAAAATGCTGGGCTTTTTGCCAAAGACTTTCTGGTAACTCATAAGCTAAGCTTTTCATCTGAGCCAACTCCAGGTCTAGAATGACCCAGAGGAGCGACTCATATGCTCAGCAGACCTTGGCTGCCCCTATGCTGTGTCTGGGACTACACCTTCAGCGTGCAGCTATCCATCAGTAAGTGGATCATTGAACTATACCCTCCCTGGGAGGAAGCCAGTTTGGATTCACCACAGAATCCAAGAGCATGTGGCAGAGAAGGAGGCTGACTAGTAGGGGATTTCCTCTAGGATTTTCCCATAGGCCATGCCCAGCTGCATCACCGTTTGTTAGATTCAAGGGCCATTTTCCAGACTCCACCTACTGCAAAGGAAAGCCTCAGGCTGTTTCTTATCTAGTTTGATCAACTGTTAGTTAACATAAGCTTGTTGAGTCAGAAGCCCCAGATCAGGCAGATGTGGCAGAGATGGGAATTTTGGGCAAATGTTTTTATGGAGTCATTTGCTAAGAAAACCCCCTAGCAAAAATCGTCGAGATACACCTGTTAAATCTAATCAGATGCTTGCTTGAGAAAGAAATTTTCTCAGAAATTGTCCGATCAATGTTTATCTCTTTTGTTTAAATACTTATTAAAATCCTTTCTTAAATATATTATGATGAGAGAATATACTAAACACATGCTAACCTTTAATTATTAAGCATCGTGAAATGTCTGAAGGTCATGATTTAGATTAACAACCATAATATTTAGCTACAGAAAGGTATAAAATTGAGTGCATTTGTATCACTCTAGGACAAAACAAGGTGGTTGGATATATTCTTTCATCATCTTGTGTTTTTTGATTTGGTTCCTTTCTCCTACAGTGTCAAATAATGTAAAAAACCTGAAGGCTACTTATTTAACACCTTTCCCCCCAACACCTAGAACAACACCTGAACCATATTAAAAAACCAAAAAACCCATTGCCATCAAGTCAATTCCTACTCATAGCGACCCTATAGGACAGAGTAGAACTGGCCCATATGGTTTCCAAGGAGCAGCTCGTGGATTCCAACTGTCAACCTCTTGGTTAGCAGTTGTAGCTCGTAACCACTACGCCACCAGGGCTCCTGAACCATATTAGATGCTCAAAAATGTTTATGGAATGAATAAATAAACATCTGAGAAGCTCGCGTCATCCTAATAATGCTAATATTTTTATTCATCTATAGACATGATAAGTGAACACACTAAGGGAAATTGATAAAAATTAAACAACACAGCAACAACAGAAATGTTTTCCTTTCCAGGAACATCATACGAAGTTATAAGCTTGCAAAGGCAAAAAGTAATCTACAAATTATAGAGTATTATTAAATGAGCCAAAGCCATTCCATAAATAAATAATGCAGAACTTCTCTAAAGTTTGTTGCTATTATGTGTAAACCCTTGGGATGAAAACTGGGAGTCCTATTTGTAATATGTTCCTCACATTAATGAATGAACTACATACACAATTCATGCAAGCACGTCAGCCAAGCATTACTCTCGGGGACTAGAGGGGCATTTCAGTAACAAGAGCTAAAAGCATGGAGCACTCTCTTCATTTGATTTGGAAGAGTACTTCTAAATTTTTTGATTCTTCCCAAAGCATAAAGCAAAATCTGGCAGAGAAGTGACATATATAATTGCAGACAATTTTCTCTTGCTAAAGAAAATTGGGTTGCTATAAGCTGGAATAGACTCGACAGCAACAGGTTGCACTACTGTGAGATGGATTGGACCCTATATCCAAAATGGCCACAGGTGACATGCTCTTTGTGGCACTCTCACACGTCCTCGTGAACCACGCCCTCCTCCAGATGGAGGGCATGTCTTTATGCTCTCCTACTCCCCGCTAATTTCAATTAAAAACTGTTTTCCAGAAAGAATCTAACCTCAGCTAGCCATACTTGTATGAATTCAAGCCACCATTTTACCTCTTCTTGAGGTATTTGCCTTTTTTAGTCTTGCTTCTGTGTAAAAAAAAAAAAAAAAAAAAAGCCAAAACAAAACACCCACCCCTTTTTACCGCCTTCATAAAAGAAATGTAAGCAGTAGGCAACAGGAAGATAAAGTCTTTTTGTTTATTTAGTTTTGAGATGAAAGTTCTTTCCCTGTCACTGAAATTACATATATAGACTAAACTGACCAATTAGCCATATTGTTTCAGTTACTTAAAGGGAACTGCCCAATTTATTTGTTACTTCTTTAGGTTGTAGCACTTCTGTGTTTATGCTCAACCTTTGCTTCTTCAGCCTTCTAATTCCTTTCCTTAAAGTCTGACACACATTTCTGACTTCTTGATGGATGCCTTGTTCTAAGTGCTTAGCACGTCCTCAATGGGAACTCGGTCCAACAACAGTCATCATTTTCTCCCACCAACCCACTGTCCTATCAACTGGCCCATTTCCCAGTCGTGACAACTCAGTCAGCTCTGACCCTTTCATCTCCAAACCCCATTACACTGGTTGCATATTTCAGCTACAGTATACCTATACAATGTTTTCAGAAACTATCTTCTTTTATTTCTACTTCCATGGAAGTGTTTATAATCTCATTGCTTTTTAAAATAAAAATAAGATTTACTCATATTTTTCCTATGACTCACACTCTCAACTCAGAATGTCATATATATATGTATATGTGTGTATGTGTGTGTCTATACAGATTTATTTATTTATTTTAGGAAAACTCTATTCCATGGCCACAGATACATCCCTAAACAAAGACCCTGACTTCTTCAGGATCCAAAGCCACACTTGTTCCCATGTTAATTTCCCTATAGGGTACATCCTCCAATGGAGCTCCTTATTCTAGGATCTCTACAATCCAAATTTATACTTCAAGTTTCATTTCCTACAATTCCAGTAAAACACAGCCACTCTACATTACTCAAGCACAGGCCTTTATTTCCTATTTCTGTTACTTCCACTTATGTGTTTTCTCTCTGAGGATGGCGTCATCCTTCAAGACTCTAATCAGATGCTAGTTTACTTTAGCACCACCTTTCCTTAATCTTATACACACCCTTCCAAGCCACTGTAACTCTCTGTTCCTTGAGTCATAGTCCATTTATCTGACTCCCTCATTTCATTCATCATTCTCTGCTGGTTTCCTCTCTCATGAGATGGTAAGTACCCTTTTAACTCAGGCATCATTACATAATGGGTACTGAATAAACCATTTACTGAGTTAATTAAAGCCAGTCTATTTGACGTCAGTTGTTTCAGAGGTTCATATGATTGAAATATTCCAAACAATTTTTATTTATTTTTGTATTCACCGTGTAGACATGGCATAAATCATGGCTTATGACTAAGAGCCAATAATTGTTATTTTGGTTGATTATTTAAAAACATATATTTTCACTTTAGTTTAAATAATTATGGCATACAGATAGATAAAACTTTTCTTTACCAAATTTTGTTTTATGACATTTATGAAAATTGAAAGAAACACTATCATCCACAGTATGCGCTGGAGAACCTTAGATTCCATTATTGGTGACTTGCTTGCCTAAGGTTTTGTAAGACTGATTTCAAGGGACTTCCAGATTACTGTTAGTTTATTTTCCATCCTCCTTCACCCTTTCCAAGGTTTACTCGGCATTTGGCATAGCAATCTTCATTCTTCCCCAGTTCCTCTGTCCTTGAGAAACCTTAAGCAATTAACTTAAAGCTTTAATAGCAACATATTAATATAGGCCAAATGTGGCCAATTCTTTGACTGGCTAGCTCAACCCTTTTCACCCTTGCTATCCTTACAGAGATTAGAAAGCAAAATAAGAACTTTTGTATCTCCTTCACATTAGAGATGGTCATGTGGCAGAGTGCTGGCCAACGGAAAGTAAGCTGATGTCTTCTGGGGGCTTTGGAGAAGACTCGTGTTTCTGACAAGTGGAGTGGGTACAGGTAAAGGTGTCTTTTCCCACCACCTCCCCTCCTCTAGCCCCACATACAAGGTGCCTGTTAACACAGACAAAGCTGCAGCAGTCATTTTACCATGACGATTAAAAGGCCAAGAAAACTGCAGATACTAGTCCTTCACAAAAGGTGACAGATAACATCACTGAGCAGCGAAAACACCTGCAGTGACCAGCTACTTAAAACTCATCCCTATTTGTTCAAGCCATTGTAAGTCCAGGTTTCTTGTTACACCAAGGCCGACAGTTTGAGTTTTCCATGAAGGAAAAACTCTTCTTTGGCCACAGAGTGAGCTCTCAATTCAGTTGCAAAACCAGTTCCCGAGGTCAAAGCAGAAAAGGGAGGGGAGTGAGTTGGCTGTTTTCACAACACTCACTCACCGCTAAGGGGATCTCTGTTTTTCTCTTTCCTTATAGATGAAAGGTAGTATCTGTCTTTTCTCTTGAAGATTATTATTAATTATTTTCTACGTATGTTAAGAACGCGAGAAAATTGAATTAAATTTTGATGGAAAGGAGGGACCTTGTGATGAATTCACTGATTAAAATATATATATATATATATATATATATCCCATTGCTGAGTCAAATTCACCGATAGCCTAAAGATCATTGTAATCTGCTTC